CTTTGAAATACTGAAATATGAGGTGTCACTTATTCATGAGATCATTTATGTAAGAAATAATATTACTTTTTCTTAAGAGTTGATGAGGAAACATGGTGACAACATATGCTACTTTTCGAAATTTGTATATTGCAAATATGATAATTACATAGATCTACAATGTACTCTTAAGGGTATAATTAAAATTAATTAGAAACCCTTTACGAATAATCTTCAAACTAATCAAGACGATAAGAATTGCGAAAATATCAAGATAATGAAATCGGGATTACCGAACATTGAAACCGATTTTAAGCATGACCTTTCCTCTGCACCCAAAAAAAATGTGAATAACCTATTTAGCTTATCTAATCGAAAATACGGAGCTCCACAACAAACCGTGAGTAATCTCTTAGATCCATAAAAAGCTTTCGAAGTCATTCAACTGCCGGTGGTGATATTTTTCCCATATGTTTGGTGTGTAGGGTCTTTCAAATTCGTTGTAGCTAGTTCTACGGTCGAATTAGAGCCCAGACATATGTTTTTTGCGGCTTTGATAAAGAACGCCTCAACAACAAACGGGAAATATTTGTTTGCATTTGTTGTTTATTGTTTTTTACCTATATGCAATAAATAAATGACAGATGTGCATAGGAAGTTGGAAATGCGATAGTTTTGCTACCCTGACATTGAACATTCATTGATCTGATAGCTAAACGCTTTTAATTGGGTTTCCATGTGGGTGATAAGTGAAACACTTTTTTCGATTTGGTGGGCCTGACTAGCCTGACTTGTGGAAAACTACAGGGAAATAAATAACTCTTTTGTGTGGCTATCCACCCCGCTGAACTTTCTTCAATTTGCATAATTTGCCACAGAATCCAATGGACGCCAAGTTGTCTTCAATTAACTCTAAGTACTGTGCTACGCAAACCAACAGCTGTTTAAGTATCCGCGAGATACAATCGACAACTAGCTAGATACATTTCTCTTTCTGTTCAGATGGTTGCGTGAGGTAATTGCATGTAGGGGGACAACTAAACAAAATCGGGCCTATAAAAGTTCCACAACCTGAACTAAAAGAAAATATATATATAGGTTTATATATGCGCACGAATAGCAACCGAAATTGTAGCCAAAATAAAAAGCCACAGAGAAAAAAAAATATAAATGGGGGAAATTTTCCTTGATATTTTTGTCAGTTGGTTGTTGTTAATAACCTTTGATTGACCTTGAAAATATGTGTGTCGCCGTCATGGCAGTTTCCACAAATTAGTTAAATTGAAAATATTTATCACCCAAAACTTTATATAGCTTGAACTTCTAGTGGTCAAGTCAATGGAAAATTAATAGATACATTTTTGGGGGAACTTCTGGAAAGAAATTGAAAGTGATTTAAGCTGACTTTCAGGCAAGGACAAACATGTTTAGCTGCCGATGCTAAGAAATTTGCAAATGAAAAGCTCACGCTTCGGGCACGTGCTTAGATATATATATATACATATTGTGTATCTGATGGATACAATGCTAAGTGCACACTTGCCATTACTAAAGCTGCATTTTCTGGGGTAATCGTTGAGAAAATTAGTGAGCCAAGGCCCTAGGGAACAATATTTTTCAAAAACTCATAAACCTGTTTGCATAGATATAGAAGTAGCTTAGCGACAGCTGCTTAATGAAGATCTATTTTTAAGATTTGGTTGCTTCGGCAGCTGGCGGGGTGAAATTCTCGAATAGGAGCGGAAAATAAGGGGTGGTTGTTGCTAAATTCGCCGGCTTTTTTGTAGCACCTTTTGCAATTTGTTGCAGTGAAAGTGTCACACATTATTTTGGCGCATTTCTTGGCATTGATCCCATTTGCAATCTTTGTTTTTTGGTTATTTCGCGGATAATTAAATGAAACGAAACAATTATGTAGTAGCAAAACAACGAAAGCGTGGGAAATGCAGGAAAAGCAGAAAGTGCAGAAATACAGTGAACGCTTGAAATACAAATCCGATTAATTAATGTGGATGAAGAAGTAACTACATCTTAATTTCCTAGAAATCCGAAATTTATTTTAGTTTACTGAAACCGAAATAGATTTTTTAAACGGGGAGTCAATAAGTCAATGACCTCAGAACATCAGTTCATTCTGTTTGAAAATATTGTCCTCTCAAAAATTCCAAGATGGAATAATATGATAAATATTGATTCTAATAAAACTTATCAGAGTTTTGAAGTATTTTATAAAATAAATTATTTTGGAGAGCTTTAATAAAACATTTGGGATTTCCTTCGGCCGGGGGTTCACTGTAAATTCGTTGGCCAAAGCGCATTGGGGAATAAATCGGCAGCGAAAAAAAAGAGAATGGAGCAGGCTGAAAAAATGTCGTAATAGCCAAAAAAAAAATTTAGAAAAATTATATATAAAGGAAATTTTTTAACTGTTTTGGAAGTCCCAAGGTAGGATAAATCCGATATAGTGAGCCGGAACTTTTATAAAGATAGGTTAGGTTGCCCTACCATTTTTTTTGGAAAATTCCATGGAGTAAAATCAATAAATGGGTGGACTGGTTAAGCCGACTTAAACTCACCTTGGGATCCTTCTCGTAGTAGTGCTGCTGTGTACGAATCCAACGGCCCACCATATTGTCCTTGACGGTGTTGGCCAGGGCGAAGTAGTAGTCCCTCAGGGTGGACACATTGCGATCCTTGACCAGGGTGTAATGCAGGTGCCGATTGAAGTTCTTCTTCACCTCGGTGACATTGCCCACCTCGGCGATACCGCGCACCGAGATCTGCTTGCGCCGATCGGCGTCCGATTGGGGCTTCGACATGGTGTCCTAGTTATATCCCTCTGATCAGGCCTCCTCTATGGTAGTTCTATATAGTTCGGTGATTCCGTTGCGTGGGTGCGCGTGTGTGTGGCGGAGACCCGTTTGCGTGTGCGACAGCGAAGTGGAGACGGAGACTATAGACACAACCCAGACCTGAACAGACGACCGTTCGCAGCAAAAACCGGAGCGATTCTCACTTTATACTTTCGTTATACTTTCCGGAGCTTTTTCCGCCAGAGCTTTCGCCGCTCAATTGGCGCTCATTCTCGGGCACTCTTGTAAACAACTCCCGACGCACAGTGGTTGGGTTTCGTTGCTATCGCTGATTACCATATATTAAGAATTTCAAAATCTTAAAAAAAACTATAATATCTATCCCCCAAACTTTATAATGTTTGCTCTTAACTCAGCATAACCTACAAATATATCGGAAGGACTTCTGACTAAAAAATTTAGCTTCTTTTGTAATTGTAACTTTCTATTAGTTATATTTAGAAACTTTATTTTATTGAACTTTAATTAAAAAATTTAAATTTACCTTTAGCCCGTTACTAGAATTATTTATATAAAAGTTACTGGTAATATAAAAATATTTATTTCTGATATACCTTTTTGCAACCTGATTTTAGAAACCGTTCCACTGTGCCTTGCTGACACAGCGGTTCTTATCTCGCCGCTGCATTGCTCTCACTTTACCTTAGCTTTAGTTAATATTTTGCATTGCATCGCCCCACTCTCCCTAACGCTCACTCGCTCTCACTCCCTCTCTCTATATTTCTTTTGAGCTCTTGCCCCAGTCACCTTGTGCGAAGGTCATACATGCGTATTTGTGTTATATTTTGTGTTTTTGTTTCATCTTGAGTCTGTATGCTTTTTGTTCTTGCTTAGCATCAGGCGAAGGAATGGGTGGGTGGCGCCCTCTGGAACGGGTTGGAGCTTTGAGAACAGACGTCTGTCAAAAGGGAGCTTTGTAAACAGCTGTTCAGTGGGGGGAGCAGTTTGGCGGGCTACTTTTTGGAGCTGCCAACTTGCGTCGAGTTTAAAATATTACAATCTAAAAGATAGTTTTGTATCTGAAAGATTGGTTTGTATTTTAAATGTAGGTACTTTTGTATCTCCAAGATACTTTTCAGTCTAAAAGATACTATTGTGTCGTAAAGAAATACTTTTTTAGTTTAAAAAATACTTTTAAAAAATGTTGACATAAAATCATTAAATAAGAATAATTAATTTTTTTGGATTGAATTTCCAAATTGATCATAAAAATCATTTGTTTTAATATTACAAAAGATTGTATCAGAACTTTAAATTAAACTCTTAAATTCTAGATTTCCATAAGTCTTTTAGGTTTATTTAATATATTTTTGAATTTGTTTTCTATAAGGACAAATAAATGTTGTTCTTTTCTCGACTTTATCAACAAATGCAAATCACAGGACAAAGGGCATCTGCAATTCCATCTGAAGAATTAAGTTATTCTATTTCTTGTTTATTACTTCCCATAATAGCACTACCATGTTCAACTACTTGGCAATGCATGCGGAAAAAGTCCTTGAAAGGTGCCGAAGAAAATGGGGGAAAATTTCAAGGGACCAAGGCGTTGCTTGTTTCTTGTGTTTGCCATTTGTTCGCTTATTTCGTTGCAAATGAAAATGATTAGCACATTTTGTAGATGGAAAGCGAAAGGAAAACCTTTTTGGACATTTGCCAAGTGAGCGGCCATCGAAGTGAACGTCATCATTCATAAGCTTGTCTGCTAAAAATTGAAAACTTAATTGGAATCTGCAGAATCCCGCCAACCGTACGCTTGTTGACTCCTCGCACATATGCACTAGGTTTTGTTTTTCTTTTTTTCGTATTCATCTACAAGTATTATGCAAAAGTTACATTTAGACGCAAAAAAAGTTCACTGAGAGAAATATCGGTTATTATACTCAAACATTATTAGAAATATCGTCGTATCATATTTTTCCAAGAAATGCTTAAATTATGTACTTAAATAAAGGTTGCATATGTTTTATTTGATAAGACTGAAAAATAATTGAAAACAAAGAAACATGATGCTATCATCTAAATGTTTGACTCATTACTTTTATACAATCTATAAAAACTGCGAGAGAGCGAGAGGGATTTCCATACATCTGAGTTGTTTCAGTTCACTACTGATAAGCCAAGCTTTGAGTTATGAAAGTATTTTCAATATGATCTGAATCATTTTCGCCGGAGACTTTGTCAAGAGATGACTTTATTTTTCACGTTTCTTCTGCCTCTGCTGATCAGCTTTGCGATCGGACAACAATATGGTTACCAGGTAAATCTGAAAAAATAAAATAAAATTATAATTGTATTAATACAACTTAATAATTCGCATACAGAACCAAAATTACGGCGGTAGAAGTCCGGATAGTTTGGAGAAATTTCCTTGGGTGGTGGCCGTGCTGAACAAAGACGATTTAATAACTCGGTACATCGGATCGGGATCTCTGATTAAACCCAATGTGGTTCTCACTGCCGTTCATATCCTAAATGATATATCTGAAAATGAACTGCTGGTGCGGGCTGGCGAAAATGATACTTCAACCACGCAGGATCAGCAGCATGTGGATCTTGAGGTCTTGAGGATAGTTGCACACGAACAGTTCAACAAGTACAACGCAGAAAACAATGTGGCCTTGCTGATTTTGAAGTCTAAAGTTACGATGACTAGGAACATCCAAACAATTGCCTTGTATATGGGTGGACAAATCCTACAGAACTCATGCTTCTTCAACGGCTGGGGCAAGGAGGAGTGGAACTCGAAGGATTATCCCACCATCCTTAAAAATACCAAAATAGAAATAATCGGAAATCCTTTATGCCAGCAATTGTTGGGCCGACCAATATCCACTCGACAATTTTGTGCCAATGGCTTACAGGGAAAGGATTGTAGTGGCGACGGTGGAGCTCCCGTGGTTTGCAGAATAGGTGAAAACCCCCCAACCCTCGCACAGGTGGGTGTGGTCAACTGGGGATCTCGCAGGCCAGGAGATAATACCCCCACCATCTATACGTATGTCTACAGTCTGCAAGGTTGGATTCAATACCAGCTCAGGTTACCAGCTAACTACGTTCCCAAATAGATTGAAGATTTTAATGAGACTCAAATAAATGTTGTGTAAAAATTACAATTATTTCTTCAATCCAGTATCTTATGTCACAATCACACAAAGAATGCACGTCTTTTTTTTTAAAACAAATCAATCATTCCAATTCTAAGAAAATTGAGAAGCGGTCAATTGGTGTTATCAATTGAGAAATTAAATAAAGCATTTTAGACTTATCAGCTGAACGTATATATATGCTCATATTATATATACAACATGGCGTATGAGTGATACTGTGGTGGTCATCAATAATTTGAGATATAGGCTATCCTTACCAAAATTTATTCATTGTAGTTACGATATTTTCTCCTTTTCCTACCACGATTTATGTCAACTTTTCGCCAAGTGTAAAAAGCAAACAAAAATAATCTCGGCTAAAAAATTCGCTTTTGAAGGACGGCAGGTAGCTGAAACCTAGTGAGGGGGGGTGTGGAGAGTTTTGTGGGTGAAACGCCGTTCAAAAGTTAAAGTGTTGCCATTTTTCATTTTTTGCACGCTACTTGTTTGTTGTTGTTTGTTTGTTTGCCGCTGCACAAAGGCGCGTGTGAGTGTGTGTGTTTGTGCAGGTGCCACAAATACAGGAAACATATGTGAGTTGCCTTTGCGTGTGAAAAAAGAGCGGTTCGAGTGCTTGTTAGAAAGAGTGCGAGTGCGGTGGGAAAGAGATGCCAAATGGATGTGAATGGACGTATAATGTGTGTGTGTGTGTGTGTGTGAGAGATCCTGAAACTCGTTTTGCCGCTAATTGGATGCTGAAGGTGTCCTCCACGTGTGTGTGTGTGCGTGTGTATGGCTGCCTGTGGTCATGTGTGTGTGTGAGTGCGGTGCGGAGTTGAAGTTGCCAAACATCATTAACAGCTCCCCGACACGCCCACCGCCCACCGCCCACCGCCCACTGACTTTCACACTCAAACAAAAGCCAGGTATAAGTTATCTTGATGTCTGATAAATTTTGTAGGTGATATGGGTCAAATTTGCAGGTAAATTAACTGATTTTAGTTTTAACTCTTACATTATTTCAGCATTAAAAATACAATTTCTATAAAATAAACTTCTAAATATAATAGTATTTTAAATTTGTTTTTAGTTTTAATTTTTAAATTTAGTAAGAACCAATTGAAATATGGTTTTTAATGGATGGTGCATTGGCACAGAAACATCTTAATATACTCTAATTAAAGTCAATCACTTACCTCTTAAATAATATAATATTTTAAAATTGATAAAAAAACACAGTTACTTAAATTAAGAAAATAATAAGTTGAAAACGTTTTTGAATTTTTGATGTGTTATCACAGAAATATTTTGTTTGGAATATCGGTTGAAATATGTATTAATGTATGTTTCGGTTTCAAACGAATATAGTCTAGAAAGATTATTTAAGCTAATAAGAAATTAATGCTAATTGTTTTATAAAATTTATTGAAAATGTAATAGGCAATTATTTGCAGTGCACCGGCTGTCTGCAACCGAAAAAAGCGCTGTCTCAATAATTACATTTTTTTTTGCTCGGCTGCCGCTGCTCTTGCAGCCACCTCTGATGATGAGATTAAAGTTTTGGCATAATGATGTCTCATTAAATTAAATGGCAACATTTCCAAACAAAACTGATGTAATTTGCCCGGCGTAGTTGCCTGATTAATGTGGCCTGGCTGTTGACTGAAAGGCGGAGGGAAATGTATCTGCTTGACGTAAACTGTTTGCCTTTTTTGATTTCACTTTAATACGCTCCCTTTGACGGCTTAAAATGTTTGCCATAAAATTGTGTATCAATATCAATATTGAAGGAGTGCACGACGAGTTGCCCTGGTTGCCCTCGCCATCGCATACACACAAATTGATATTGAATTACAATAAAATCTGCATTTATCAAAAGTTCACACACACACAACCACGCTCACCTGAAACACACGTACGGCTTATATGAAGGTATGTATGTACATACATGCAACAGTTGTAAGCCAGCATTTGTATGCGTGGCGTTTGGTAACCTTTAACCCTTTTTATGGCCCGGGCTTCAAGCCAAATACCAAGATGCAATAACAGACATAAAAAACAAAGCGGAAGAGTATGGATTTTCCTGAAAACGAATTTTTAATGCCTTCAAACAAATGCATTGGTTAACTTTGATCTTTTATAAAATCATTACATTAAGGGGTTCTATTAAATATAGAAGTTTATTCCTGGTAAGATGTTTAAATTTCTTAATATTAGGATAATAAAGTCGTTAATTAATAATCAGAATACTTACTTTAATGAACTAGGAAAGGAAATTCGTTGGTTAAAACATTGAAATAAAAATTGTGCTTAAAATACAAACAAGTAAATTTATTATTAGAATGATTTTTAAACGTCTGTAGTATTTTAGCATTGAACTTTTTTCTTGGTAGAATGCTTACATTTTTTAATGTTAGGATAGCGAAAGTCTTCAATTAAAATTTTTTTTCTGTTTTTGTATTATTACACATTCTGTTTTATACCCTGAATTTCTAAACGCATATACTATTTAAGTGTTAGCCTTTAATAAAATATATTTAAAAACCTTACAAGTAAGGAATTAAGTTACTTTTGAACTTATAGATTGTCTCCAGAGGTTATAAGTTAAAGTGACATGCATATTCCATCTTCGGCCAACTTCAAACAAGGTCGGATATACTTTTTTAAGTCGTGGCAGGAGGACTTCAACGATGGCCTCCCAATGGGAGCATTTTGGGGCAAGCTTGGCCATTATGAGCTACTTAGCAACCGATTTGTGCAGCACTTGCCGCACCTCACGCACACCAAAGCACTCTCCCTCTTGGCATTAGTGTGTGTGTGTTTGTTGATCCCCCAAGTTGAGGAAAAATTTTGGAAGCAAATCGAGTCGAGTATTTGAAGGTTTTTGGTTTCAGGTCTTCACAGAAAACCATCTTCGGTTTCGTCTGTTGAATTGAAATTGCTTAATTTAGCAGATAATTTAGCCAACAAATTGTTTTCTGCCCCCGTCCCCCCCCGCTTCTCCACCACAAAAACACACATTCAGGGAATGTAATTAGCTCGTTTCCTGTTTTTGTTTGCCATTGCCTTCGTGGCTTTGTTCGAGCGATACAAACGCTCCCATGTGGCTATTTGTATGCGATTTATGGAACCAACTTGGTAACGTCCAACTTGGCACTATTGTTGCGACAACTATTCAATAGCCTTCCCCTTTCTCCACGGGTACACTTTCACTCCCCCAATTCGACAAAGTCACGGTTTAATTGGGTCCTCCTTTGTCCGGAATTGGAGTTTTCTGGTTAACAATGCGTGGCTTTTGATTCCCAACTTGGGGACAACTTCAAGCGCCGGGAGAAAAATTACTTCAAAGGGTTATCGAATTAGTTGTAAGTGCAGGTACTACAAAATAGTTGATTATGGTAGCTAAAACCCCATTTAATAGAACTTAGCTGCGGTGATTTATGAAGTAGTAATATATATAAAATAATTGACATTCAAATTGCTAAATTGTTAGAACTGACAAAAATTCTATTAAAATAACTTATGAGTTGGTGATAATTAAATGTTTTCTTTGTTAAAATAATCATCTTTCATCTTATTATAATAAATCCTTGATCCTCTACTGCAGCTGAAAGACATTTAAATCAACTCCACCCATCAAATATCATACCCCTATAAATATGCTATAAAATATGGCACACATATTCATTTTTAAATTCTACAAATTTGTGCCCTTTTGCTTTTCATAAAATTAACATATTCTACTAAAAAGTTTGCAGAAGCCAGAATATATTACATGAAATCTATTTTCGCTGCAGTTTTATTGCTTTCGCATGAAAATGATGTGTAAACTAGCCGCAATGTTGCAATATGTTGTTTTGAAAATAGGAAAAGTTAAACTTTGCCGAATACATGAATATTTTAAGTAAACAAAAGCTTATGAACCGTAAAACAGAAATTTAAAGATGAGTTCATGCTGATTTCGAACATTATTTTGCAAGGGTCAACATATTTTTTCAATTTGCATTTTATTTTCATATTTGTGACTCTGCTAAGCCCCAGGGCACACCACAATATTCAATGTAATATTACTGCAATTGATTTAAGTAAAATAAAACACTTTCTTAATCAATTTGTTTGCAACAGTTTCCGTTTTGTTAAACAATTACTGTGGCATTCAGTAGTTATTTTACACATTTTTTGTATACAAATCCGATTGCCAGCCACACTTACATATGTTCATGTTCATTTATTTATAATATTTTACGGTTTGTTGAGTGGTTTCTCAGTATTTAAAAAATATGTTGGATTGTTAAGTTTTTGCAAGAGTTGTGTAACAGGTTGTTCTTATAAAAAGTATAAAAAAATATATATTTTTTAATATTTAAAAATGTATAAATATATATATCTCAAACTTGTTTTTGATAAAAGAAAAACTAAAAAATAATCAGAGGGTATGCCTGAGTTCAAACCTCTAATATTAGTTTTATTTCTTTAGGTCTCATTTTAATACGATTTATCTTTGTCAAGCTGATAAATCAATTTGATACGGATGTGTGAGTCGAATATGATTTATTGTTATCCTGGATGTTCGCACTCGGTGAATCCTTCAACCTTCTGCCGATATCGTTATGATTGTCATTGTTTGCTGCTGCTGCACAATCTGGTTTATTATTTGGCAGCTCTTATCAATTGCAAAAATTCACAATGTGCATTCAATTTGCTAAGCGGCTTTGGGTGACCAAAAATTGTAGTAATAATAATAATAATAAAACAATTTGCATATTATTATGTGTTCACTTTGATGGAATCATGCCAGAGAAAAATTGCACAGGGGAAAGAGAGATGAAAACACTTGAATGCTTGGGTAATAAATTTAAATCTGGACCTGAGAACTCCCAAAAGACTGTCGCCTGGCAAACAAAGGCGTTGAATTTATTTGCCCCAGAGCCTTGAATTATTTTAGATTTATTTACTTAAAGTCACTTTGGGCCAACTGTTTTGACAACTCAGCCTTGTGAGGCAGTTCGAGTTGAGTTGTCTCCGGTCAACTGGAAGAGCTGGTGAAAAAAGGGGATTTCTTTTTTGGAGTTTTAGCTGGGCTTC